TGAATATTAATGACTTAAAAATAAATAAAGAAATGTCTTTATCAATAAATCAGCCGTATAACCTTGAATGATTGAAGAAAACGTTTTTATTTGTATTTTGCTCGCTTGCATCCAAGTCATCCAGTTGTTGCTCACTGCTTTTTTCAATATTTAAGAAAATGTTGCTTTCTGAAACACTTGCTTAAAGGTAGGGTAGGTAATTCACTTCAGAAACACTTTTTGTTATATTCCATGGAATGCTCTTAACATCCCGATAGCAATGAATACATTAAATGCTTTGACAATAAATATATACAAATATGTCATCTGTGGAAGCCGTGGCGCTGTAAAAAGCACGACCAATCATCTGAGCCGGCCCGGCCAAAATAACTGGATGGCCTACCTGCCTGTCAGCCTTCCATCTGTGCACAAACTTATCTCGTGCCCTCATTGGTCATGTGTGCGTTCGTGTGTGTTGGAGGAGTGGCTCTGTAAGGAAGTCTGAAGGAAGGGGCAGATTTTTTTCGGCTGCGTACTTTCAAATTCTAGCGCACTCGAGCTGGTTTCTCCATTCTTACCTACCCTACCTTTAATAGTCTCATGCTTGCGCAGGTGTGTTACTAGTCCATGATAATGTTTTAAATAGAAAGCAAAAATGTCTGTTTGGGAAGTAGTAAAAATATGACTTGATATGCAAATGGTAATTGTTGGGTGACATATTTCTTTAAATTACCCTAGGAAACTGAAATGTATGCAAAGTAACTCTGCCTTGTCTCTCCGTCTCTGCAGCATTGTCTGCCAGCCCTCTGAAGATTCAGAGCACTGCTTTAGGTTTCAAGCTCTACTGCTCACTCAAATACTATATAAGCTACATGAAGACCAGCTGGCACCTCAAGTGAGTCCACATGCAGAGCACCTCTCTGACCTGACACCCCATGTGCATATGCCACCAAGGAGGACGTTTCCAAACTAAATTCTGACAAACTTTAAGTCGGACCGGAATAGCAATGTTGAGAATCGTTATGTGCAGGAACACCAGCACCTGCACAGGGAATCAAATGGAAAAAAAGCTTATTTTTGCTTTAGTATCATGCAGTGTAGGCACATTGTTTACTGGAAGGCACAGAATTGCAATGCTCTAACCCTAAAGACAGGAAATGCACACAATATTGAGGCGCTCTATGCCTAACTTGCGTGTGTGCCAACAACACAAACACAGTTTCAGATCAGATCCACACACACCGGCTTGACTGCCGCACATACACACACTCAAATACCAAATAGAGGTATATAAATGTACCCTGACATTTCTCTTCATGATGGCAACGTCTGGAGCACCTTTACTGAAGTTCAGCCTCTAAAATCCTTATCAAAGTTCAACTGCTGACAGCTTTAAAAGTTCAGGATCTACAAAATAATCTGTGAATAACAAGTGGATCATTATGTCTGCCTGCAAATGTTGTTATGTGGCAGCTTGAGGCTCATCTGGACATTTAAACACCTGCTTCATCCTACCTATCTGTTATAATCAAAAACACAGTGCATCACTCTGGCAGCCAAACATAGTGGTTAAAACTGACAGTACATTTTACGTTTTTTTATCCAAAATATCAGACTTAATTTTGGATAAAACTGGATGAGATATTTATTACAGAGAAAGAGATTAAGCTGTTCAACTGGACTGATCTTTAGGAACATAAAAGTGTGTATTAGCTGCTATGACAAACATTTCATCACAGAGAAAGATCACATCAGTAGTATTGCAATTATTCGAAGAAGCTACTGTGTTTCTTTTGCCAGGCTTATACCACCACCTGCTGGCAGATTTCAAGATGTGCAAAGAGTGAAACAATTGAAGAAAATCTGCCTATTATGATGCATGACACATTTTCTTTGTCCTTCATAAAATGAGTTTGCAATGAATCCATGTCCCTACATCTAAATGTTCAATTTAAATTCATATTCTTTCTGAGTTTATGCAGCTGCATCCGTTTACTCTACTCTTACTAAACTATGAAATAATTCATGTCACCGGATAAAGAGAAGGAGTACGTTGATAACAAAACATGTATTTGCTTTCCTCCATGTAGAGAGAAGAGGATTGACCAGGATGCCAGGACAAAGCCTGGCAGCAGCGTGCAGGAAGTCTGGATTGAAATCTGTAACCCGACAGAGAATGATAAAGGGAAATACACGTTGGAGATGTTTGACGGCAAAGAGACACACAAACGATATCTTGACCTATCTGGACAAAGTGGGTGGAGTGTGAAGGATCTAAAAGCACAGATATGGAGAAGATTTCAGAGAAGATGTTGATTATTATTTATTCCAACAGTGTTTGCTGATGCCTTGCTGGAGCACCAGAGGTTGAAGTAAGTGCAGTAGTTGGCATCTAGCATGGTTTGCTGTGACACTAACAGAGAGCAGTGAGAGGTAACACACTATTAGTTGGAAACACTGAAAAAATCTCAGCACAGACTGTTATTTCCCCGCACTTGTCGTATTGATCTGTCTCCTTGTTTTCATCCTTCAGGCAAGCGGCCGTGGCTGAGAAAAGTGAGTCCCAGGTTATGTGTTAACGCTGAGATCATTTTTCCACAATAAAGGTGAAAAGACTGTACAGTGGATAACAGCGGGGAGTTATTGTTGTTTGTTTGGTTTCAGATCGGGCCAAAGTGACAAAGGGTCTCCCTGATGTGGTGGCCATCATGGAGGGCAAGGTAAGATACACTTTTTACTTTTTACGCTGCTATGGACAGTCTTGCACTAATGTACATTTCTCAAAGATATTGAAGTGACTGTTATTATATTGATTGTTGTGCTTGTCTTAATGTGTGCATATGTATAAATGTTGATTGTGTATATATAGGTACATACATATTTGTATACATATTTCTATATATATTTGTTTTTGTATTCAGGATTGTGGGAAACTGTATTTCGATATCTCTGTCTGTTCACACAAACTGAAACATTGACAATAAAGTTGACTTTGACTTTGATATTAGATAGTTAGAAACACATACATACACAATTATTTGTTGTGATATTATTGTAGCCCTATTGTATGAAGAGTTCATGGTTACAGTTGAATTTCTTTGACTGCTCCTTGTCCTATCTTCAGACTTTGTGTCTCACGTGCTTCATCGACGGTTGTCCGGACCCAGGGATCATCTGGCTTCGTAACGACAAGGAGATTGTGGACCAGGCCCAGTTCACCATCACAAAGGAGCCCAAGTGCAGCACCATCACCATCCACAACGTCACCATGGCAGATTCTGGGAAATACAGCATCTTTGTGCGCAACAACTTTGGCTCTGAAACGGTTGATGTTACTGTGAGCATTTACAAGCATGGGGAGAAGCCTCCAGATCACGCTGTGGAGATGGGTTTTGAACGCAAAAGGAAGTGAGGGATTTAGTTTGAGATTTGCACAGTGCGAACAGATATAAAGGTGGATGGATAGATATTATGACATGGAATGATGATTGTTTTTTGTGTTGGAAACTTTATTGAGCATTAAGGAACTTTGTTGTGGTTTTGAAAAAATCTCCTAGTCTTCGAACTCCAAATACTCCAATAGAGTTTTATGTTCGTAGCAGTGCTTTTTTCCCTGGCAAATGTTCAATGTAAGCTTCACTTGGCCAATGGGGGGAAATCAATCACCTTCAGCATGAAGCCTACCAATGTTATAATCCTTAAAACCTTATGTGTGTGTTGCCTTGACTTTAGACATTGATATCTCTGCAGTGGCAGATTTTCACCATCCAGCTGCATTTGATACATCTTTCCCCTTTTTGCTTTTGCAATTTGAACTGCACTGACAGACCTAAAAAAATGCCTAACAATGTTTATTCAAATCAAGAACATAGGATCCTGGTAACATAAAGATGACACTTTCTTTGTATTATTTAAACTGGAGACACTGTATGCCATAAAAATATATACTTTGTGATGAATATTGTAAAATTCTGTTAGTCAAACTCATTTAGTTGAAGTCATGGGTGTTGGATATACAGATTGTTTCTATTTTAAAGTAACTCTGTGCAACTTTTGTAAAAAGAAAATGCACTATGTACCTTTAACAACTGAAAAGCTGAATTCATACTCAGTAAAATGCACAATTAATTATTTCGATACACTCCGAGGATATCCTGCTACAGACTCACTTGTTCTGGTATGCTCATACAGTAGTAACTAATGTTAGGATGTCAGCTAACATTAGTTAATTTGTTAATTAGCAACCCCTATATATTGCTTTATAACTGCTGTCAGAGAGCCAGTTTGCAGACTTTGACTTAAATATACCTGTGCTCCTAGTACAGTACATTTTATAATTCACCAGTATTGGAAATGTTCTTGCTTCCTAAGCACATGTCAAAATGAAAACTGCAACTCTCTGAAGCTAATCAAGCTTTTGGTGAATCGTATGCGTGATTTGTTTGTGTGTGTTGTGAATAAAGCTTATTCAAGTGACTTTTGCCTGTGTAGTATTTTTTATAAACACTTACATATATTATATTTGGTCCTTCTATTCTTAAAGTAAACGTTTAGTCCAATTTATGATGAAGAAAATGTAGAGTGCCGCTTTCTGTGTGTATGATTTTGCAAGCAGAGATTATTTCTTGTACTTTAAAAGCAAACAGTCCGTAGTGTCATTAACCCTCATACTGGGGCTCAGTCAGGTAGACTCATGTTAGGGTTCAACGACACTCTGAGGACAGGTCGCATACAAGTTCATTTAGTGTATTAAATTCATATTTTTTCAAATGTTAACACCACATGCTAACATCTTCAAAATCCATTCTTTGGGAACTTTACATGAATTCATGTAATAAGACAAAACTGTGCATATTTCTTATAAAGGAAGCTTTTTAACACACGTGACAAAACTGACCATCTAACTATATCTTTGGTAAAAGCTGAGTTTGGTCCACACAGGAGTAAGTGAACTCCAGGTTGTTCAAACAGCAGTGATTACTACAGAGGAGTTTGTTACTCATTAGACAGGGCAGAGCTTTCTGTATAAGAAGGTGGATGACTCCAGTCACATCCTCCACATTGTGTTAAGATTCACAAAGTTGTCTCAGCCTCCAGCCCAGTAGGATCTACTAGAAATCATGGACTTCAATGGAACATGGCAGGTGTACGCCCAGGAGAACTACGAGGCCTTCCTCAGGGCCTTGGGTGAGAAAATAAAAAATCAAGAAGGGTTGTTTGCTTATAAAGTATAAAAACATATTTATAAGGGGTAAACGAGACAGAGTGCCTATTTAAATGCTGTTACAACTTTCACATGCTTAATTGAACCACACAGAACACACATTCTGATTCTGATTCCAAAGACTCATCAGTTCTTCATTTTAGGTTGTGTAGGATTTAACAAAACGCATATTTTGCTTTGCTTTCCAGATCTCTCAGAAGATGTTATCAAGATGGCCAAGGACATCAAGCCAGTCACTGAGATCAAACAAACTGGTAATGACTTTGTTGTCACCTCCAAGACCCCTGGGAAGTCTGTGACCAACTCCTTTACCATCGGCAAGGAGGCTGATATCAACACCATGGACGGCAGGAAGCTCAAGGTTTGTAGTTCTTGTTTTCTTTTTCATTTCTAAGGTCCTTATGTATATGATTTCTAATTTGGGACAGCGTATTTGTGTTTACAGCAGAAATATCAGTGTATATTTATCTTAAAGTGTGCTGTGAGTAAGTATACAAGTGTATTCTTTGGGGAGGTTTGTGATATGTATTGTCTCCTCCTGTGACCCACAGTGCACTGTCAAGATTGAAGGAAGCAAAATGGTCTGCAACATGGGCAAGTCCTTGCACATCTCTGAGCTCCAAGGAGGAGAGTTGATTGAGGTATGCCTATATTACCAGAACTCACCTTTTTCTGCTTCACCTTAAATATCATAAGCTTCAATAATGTAATGAATCTCTTAGCCTCTAACTAAATATGTTAATTCTCCCTTATCCAATTTCAGACTCTGACCATGGGCTCAACAACTCTCATCAGGAAGAGCAAAAAGATGTAAACCTTGCAGTGAAGAAACACATGTCTATTTAAATAAAATTGTTGCTTAATAATTGTGGTTTGCATCGTCTTGTTTGAGAAAATGTCTCTCTTTGAAAAGGCTTATCCCAACATTCAGTGTTGTAAAGTTACTAAGTAGATTTTGAGGTAATTGTACTTTACTTGGGCATTTTTTTTGCTACTTTTTTCTCCACTGCAATTCAGAGGTTAATCGTGTAATGTTACTCCACTACATTTATTAAATACCTTTAGTTACTTTGCAGATTTGGATGAATGATGTGAAATATAATCAACACTTAAATAAGGCTTTGGTTACACCTGGAGTAATATTCACTATAGCTACACTGCAGTATACAAAGTTATTAAAACATGCTCCACGTTTACCAACTTTGATAAAACTTGAATGCATCAATAATTATAATCAAATCACATGATATATATTATTCTGGAATGAGCCACTCTACATAATTAGTAGCCTACTTTTAGATTCTGTACTTTGAGGAGATTTTGATACCAATGCTTTTCTTTTTTATTCAAGCAAAATGTTGATAGCATGACTTTTACAAGCAATACAGTATTCTTAAACACAGGTACTATTTGCATAATGAGTACTTTTTTTTGTACTTATAGTATATTTTGATGCCAAAACTTCTTCTACTTTTACTTTGATTGCAGGACTTTTACCCGTAACAGAGTATTCCTACACTCAGGTATTTCTACGTTTACAGTACTTGATATGAGTACTTTTTTCCACCTCAACATCCTGGATGTGGGTGTGTTTGGTGCGCATGTGCCTTCGTGGCTTTACGCATGCGCAGTACGAAGGGAACGCTTTGACCACGTAGTTAGTGTAGCCTGCAGTAAAGCATACGGATTTGTGAATAAAAAGCTGTAGTAAACTAATTCCCGGCTGCCAAATTAAAGCAACGGACCTTTACAAACATGGCGAGGTACCTGAGACCGCCTAACACTTCTCTCTTCGTCAGAAACATCGCCGATGACTCCAGGTATGTTGTTATTTTTTCAGCCTACGGTATGCACGCATGGACCAGCTAACGTAATGCTGGTTAGTGTGGAAACATGACCAAAAATGGCTATCTGACGTTAGGGAAGGGGGGGGGGGGGGTCGCAAATCAGTAATGGACAAAAAAGGTGTTTTTCCTGGGTTTTGCTAACACATGCTAATATGAAAGACTGTGTTGTTGCAAGTGACGTAAATGGCACTCCCCCTAAGAAGCACGTAGGCCTAGCTATTTATACTATGGACATGCATTAATAATGTAGCGTGACTACACACCGTGTCTGTGCTGTGAAGCCCGTGACGTGTGTTCAACAGCGGGTCTATTTTTATTTCACCCACCAGCTTTAACCTCTTTTCAAATGTACGCCCCCAGTGCTGTCAGCAGGGAGAGCAGCAGCAGAAAATAGACCTGAGACAGAGACCAATAACATGTCCATCTTAGGTTACTGAGCATTTTAAATGTGGAATATGTAACAAAGAGAAGGGGTAATTATACTACATAATGCCTTTGTTGTTTGTTTCTTTGTCACACTTATAATGTTGTGTATAATTGTGACAGTGTCTGGATTAAAGGTGGGGTAGGTAATTTTGGAGAAACCAGCTCGAGTGCGCTCGAATTTGAAAATACACAGCCGGAAAAAATCTGCCACTTCCTTACAGAGCCTCTCCTCCAACACACACGAACGCGCACATGACCAATGAGGGCACGAGATAAGTTTGTGCACAGATGGAAGGCTGACAGGCAGGCAAGCCATCCAGTTATTTTAGCCGGGCCGGCTAAAATGATTGGTCGTGCTTTTTACAGTACTACGGCTTCCACAGATGAATTCTTTTTATGGATTTTTTGTCAAAGCACTTAAGATATTCATTGCTATCGGCATGTTAAGAGCATTCCATGGAATATAACAAAAACTGTATCTCGAGCCGGTTTCTCAAACTTACCTACCCCACCTTTAAGTGGTGTAGGGCTTAAACAAATGTTATTTGTAATTATAAATGTGTCTGCCTATTGTTTTTGTCATGATGGACTAATCTTTCGGTCTGTAAAATGTCAAGAAATGTTTAAATGACTCGTTTGGTCATTGCAAAGACATTTTATATGTTTTTTTATTAAAGTAGAAATTGTCATGTTTGAGTGGCTGAAAAAAGCATGTTTTTGCATGAAAAATGTACTAATGATTTACTTTTTATCTATCTTTGTCAGTTTGACTTATTCATTCGTCAGCTAGTTTTAAGCAATGGTCATTTTCTAACCCCTGTGACTTTGCCCCCTCTTTTAATAAATAATTTGTGCTATTTTCTAGCTTTTAAGGCCGCTATGGATTTGTGAATTTGGCCAGCTTGGTTATTACACAATTTAAACAATGGAACCTCCTTCTGAGTGGGAGGGTGATTTGATATGTCTGCAAATAGGTTTTGTCATATGCTCTGCTGGCACCAGCTCTTGTGTTTACCGTACACGCTGCTCTCCAGCTGAATTCATATGACAGCCAGCAGAATAAATGTGCTTATTTCATGACCCTTCTTAGGCCAGAGGATATACGACGTGAGTTTGGTCGTTATGGGCCTATTGTAGATGTCTACATTCCACTTGACTTCTATACACGCCGGGGAAGAGGATTTGCTTACATTCAATATCCTTTATTCTTTTCATTTTAACAGGAAATTGTGCTTTTCTAACAGAAGGGTTGTCAAATATAATATCTGACTTTTAGGGTTACAGTTGGTTCAAGGACACCTGACCTGACTGTGTTATTTTTTTTATGTGATTTTTACCTGTTTCTAATCATTGTTGCATTCAGATTTAATCTAATTGCTAACCAATATTTCTTCTGTTGTTGCCTTAGAATGATAAAGATACAGTTCTGGAGATCCCGCACCAAAGAAAGTTGAAAGGCGGTTTTAGCGTAGATTCAAGCCAAAGACACCCAGGCGACAAGCAATAGTGGAATTGGGAAAATAAAGAGAGCAAAAGCATGAAGACAAAGAGGAGAAAAGAGAGCACCCAGGCTTCCATTTGTCTTCCAAAGCGAGGAAAAGAAAAGTGTTTATTGGGCAAAGACAAGCAGGAAACCTCAAGTTCTTCTGCCAAGAAAATAAAGATCAAGCTGAAGGTCAAAGGTCAAGCAGGTTAAAAGGTAACAAGCCAAAGTTTTTGTATCCTACCGAATCTGATCATCAATATTTGTCTTGTCTTCACAATTTGAGATCACAAATTGATTGAGTTTTATGTTGTTTATATGCACACTGAAGACATGTTTCTCATGAACTGATTTTGCACTGCACTGATGTAAATAAACTGTGTTACAGCCCTTATTGTAAATTGTTGTGCATGTGTGCAGCCTTCTCTGTCCCAACTCTCCACATTTCAAAATAAAAGCCCTTAACAATACAGCTACATTTGAAGATGTCCGGGATGCAGAGGACGCTCTTCACAACCTGGACCATAAATGGGTTTGTGGGCGTCAGATCGAGATCCAGTTCGCCCAGGGGGACAGAAAGAGTACGACCAATGTGCATTCATATCTAAGCAGCATACATTAAGCTTTTGTGATGACCTATTTTGTTAGCATTGTTTGGAAAATGTCTGGTTTATAATCACCTAATGTTCTGGTGCACATCTTTTCATCCAGCCCCTAACCAGATGAAGACCAAGGAAGACCATTCCCCTCGTAGCGACGATGATCGAGACAGACGTCGCAGGCGGTCCCGGAGCCGCAGCAATGAGCGGCGCAGGTCCCGGAGCCCCTCACATGAGCGCAGACCTCGGAGGTCTGAGAGCCCGAGAGAGTGAGTTGGCAACTTTGCTTTATTGAAGTAACTTAATCACTTAACTAAAAAGGTAAAACATAGTTGAATGTTTGTGATTTCAGTTGTTTAGTTTTATCATTTAGTCAACCCTTGATCCATCCAAATGTAAGAGTCAACTCTGTCCTACAATGTGTTTAGTAATTAGGGCCGGGTATCAGACCACAATACTTAAAGGACAAACTAATTTATATGTAGCATCGAGCATCAAATAAAAGAAAGATCTGAACATTTAAAAAAGCTAAGCTTAGTCTCTGGTTTGATATTTTTCTTTACTCCCCAACACACTAACTAACTAACATAAATTGAATATTAAAACATGACTGGACATTAATTAGCCCCTGGAGATGGTATAAACTGGTATATTGCTATGTATATTACAAGGACCCATTTAATCAATTTTTTTATCTCTTTAGATCTCGTTCCTACAGACGGAGCAGAAGCCGTGAAAATGACAGGTAATTTATCATCTTTCAGTCTGTTAAAAATGTACGAATTTGCCCTGCACCTTTGTTATTATTCAAATGTACTGTTAATCCCACTAGGCACAGAGGTCCCCCTCGTGAGCACCACCGGACACACCATGAAGCAGGCCCACGCAGCCACTCTGCGTCCCGCTCCCCTCCCCCCCCCAGACCTATGGCCAAAGGTAAGAAGAGCCAGTCGAGGTCCCACAGCCCAGCGGAGGACTTCCACCCCACCTCCAGCTCCCACAAACAGCCTGTGGGCCGCTCTCCATCCCGCTCCCTCTCTCGCTCCGTGTCCCGCTCCCGCTCTCGCTCCAGATCCTGGGCCGGACGCAAGTCTGGAGGTCACTGACTGTCTATCCCCCCAGAGCCCTGATCATCTGTGTCCGAGGACGTTCTGTTCTGCTATGATAACGAGAGTGTCCGTTTGTTTTTGTTTCATCACATTTCGGTCTGCTGCCAAAGGTGGGACGCAGAGTATGAGGAGTTTGAGATATTTTTTTAGTGAAAAGCTTTTTGTTTTTAAATCATTTCATGGAAACCCCAGCAGGTTTTTTTTTTTTTTTTTTACTTGTAATGTGGGATGCTATAGGTTAATAAAGATGTTACAGTTTGGCGTTGCCAATAATATTTTTGTACTTTGGGTTACCCAATGTTTATGTTCATACATGTGTTAATATGCCTGTCTCCATGTGGCGTGTTAGAATAAATAAAGATACAACTTCAGACCCAGCTTACCAGTATTTTACCAAATATGTTGTTCCCGCTATTATACAGCAGGAAAGCTGTATACTGTAGTAGCTGTAATGAGTGTTGCAATGGATGCTACCTTATGCTATTACCTAGAACTTGGTTTGAACGAGATGTACCGTCAGTTGAATTTTTCAAGTGTTCCTTATACGGCTATCCTAGGTTTACTTGGTATAATTTGTCAATAAACAATGTCAATGAAGAATCTTTGTTATGTTTTTTTTTAAGGAACTCTTTTGAATTTAAAGCAGGGGTGTCCAAACTACGGCCCGGGGGGCAAATGCGGCCCGTCGGCCATTTTGAATCGGCCCTCAGCAGATTAAAAAAGTATAATGAAATATGGCTTCTTAAATGTAAACAGTTTTCATGTCAGTAAATAAGTATATACCTCTAGCCCAGCCCTCGGTGATAAAAGTTTGGACACCCCCGATTTAAAGTAAAGAGGGTTCCTTGAGCAAAGGTCTATTGTACAACACACCCTAGACACAAGTGTTCACTCCAAAGAAAATATTCAAACACAGAGGTAGGGGGGAAGGGAAAGGGATTTATTTCTTCTTTTTTTTGTAAAATTTGTTTTCAATTCACAGAGTGCATTCGTTGCTTTTTTCAAACACCAATTCATACCAATTTTAAAACGGGGCATTTTTCTTTTCCATATTCAGTGACATTTCAAAGGGGGACAAATTAACAGCCAATTCAATATTTTCAAATTTAGAATGAGGAGACTGCCATGCACAACTCAATCAGGGCAAGAAATTAAACATTTACATGAACAACCAATATAAGTACAACTTAAACATTATGGGGCCAGGTTCAGTTGTCAGCTGGCGGAAGAGCAGCGGAGAACTGAAGATGGTTCAGGTGAAAACATTTTGGTCATCGTGTGGCAATGCCACCTAATGCAAGTATTCAGTTTCAGCATGGATTTCAACTTAGGCACAAACAGGTCAACTCAAGATTAAAAGCATCACGCTTACATATTGTAAGCACATTCAGAACTCGAGTTCATACACAGGCAAGTCTCCTCTAGGATCAAATTTACATTTTGCAGTTTTACTTTTTGCACAAAGCATAGTTCACCCTACACTGTTTAATACAAAACAATAAAAAACATGTGCAAGATCTCTGGAAAGATAACAGTGCAGGGGTACTGAGAAATGCTATATGCAGTTTTTTTAACAAAAATATTCTTCAGTATTGAAGTCAAGACATTGAAGTCAAGACACGTCCTTAGCATGTCTTATACATTCAGTGTTATTACTAAAAATACTTTTTGTCAAACAGGCCTCAAATTTGGCCTGCAAATGTACATATGCTACAAGTACTTTTTACATATCATTATTTACATGGCTCTTAAAACACATTAACAAGCTCTCATACTTTGTTTTGTTTTCTTTAGACTGGCCATAAACAGCTCCAATTCTGCAAGGGGAAAGCAAAGAGAGCCTCATTGAGGGTTGAATCACAAAAATAGAGAATCCATCGGGAGATAGTCAATTACGCCTCCATCTTTTCAATAGCATCTTTGTCTGTAACTTATTAAAAACTAGTCTGATTGCAGTGCAAGAGGGTAAACAAGACGCAGAGGCAAGAGGCAGAGTGGCTGTTGATAATGGACTGTCATCCACTGAGACCTATTTTATAAACATAAGCACCAGCCTCCTGCCTCACAGAGAGTCCCTGCAGCCACTTCACTTCAGAAACCTTCCTCAGTTCTGCCTCAGCTTGCTTTCTAATGCATGCAGCCAACAGGACCATTTCACATGACTTGAGAAAGTGAAACTCAACAGTCCCACAACTAAGCCTGGCCCTCTTCCGCATGTTGGAGCCGCAGCACTGTCCTGAAAAGGCAGAGACTGAGGAGCAACCACACGAATGATTGGAACAGATTAACAGTAGAAGTGACCACAGGGAGTCTTACCCATTCACCACTCGGGCTTGAAAGGTTAAAGTGGCAATGGCAACAATGCCGACCACATGTCAGGAGGATGTCCCCCAAAAAGGGGAGGGAAAAAAAATACAGCGAAAACATTGCTTTGGTTACACACAGTTCTTCATACATCTTCCAACCACAACAATAAAGGACTTGTACAAAATAATGCTATGATAGAGTGTTCTGGCCTTAGACAAAATCAGCTCCTGTAGTGCATGTGCGCACAGCGCAATAAAAAAGGTACAGGAGCCGATAGTCCAAGGCCTGTGTGCCATGGTCTCTTATCTTTCAGTTTGAGGTTATACCTTTGACCTGTTCTAGACAGTGCATTACCTCCAGTAAGATAGCTTTTTTCCCTGCAGAATTGCAGTCAAGTGCCTTTTCCATCCCAAACAAGGATTGCGATACATTAAAGAAAAGAAGGTGGACCCTAATCAAGAAATGCTACAAATGTGAGTTTGCTTTAGCACCGGAAGCTTAAGACAGGACCCCTAAAGGCTGATCAAAAAACTTTGTAAATGAAAAAGCATGTCTGTCCACAGAAATGGACCGTAAAAGTGATGGGAATTTACCTGGCCGATATAACACTTGTTTAGAAGGGGAAACACACTGAATCTGCTTGATAGCCAACATTAAAAAGAACAAAACAAAACAGAAATAAGGGATATCCAGTTCGTCATTAGTCACAGAAACTGACTCCACTAAAGGCATTACCGACCAGCAAGGCTCCAAGGCTGCAATATCTGGAAATATTAGTTTTAAAATTTATGTGTGGAAAAAAGATTCACAGTAAACATTACTGCAAATGCAATCTAACACTGGTGTCAATCTAAAAACAGCTAAAAGTATTACAGCACTGAGGTGTTCCTGGTGGGTGGGAGCCCTCAAAAGAGTCCCAGTTCATATATTGGCTTTTCAATCGAGTCTGGGCACCCCTCCTCAGGCCTGCACCTTGAGGAGACTTTTGAGCTGGAAGGCCATCATCTCCCTGTTGTCACAGGATCCCATTGGGAAGGACACCCAGTGGCTGGGGGGTTTGGGCAATACACTGGGCAGGGGTGGCTCGCTGAACTTAGGCCCAGCGTAGCTTGGACTTCCCTGTGTGGCCAGGAGCGTGTTGAGGTGAGACACTGCACCCTCCCAGTTCTGATCATAGTTGGCGGCAAAGCGAACAGAAGTGTTCTTCTCGGCGGACGCGGCCTGCCGCGCCTCTGGAGACCTGTGGTAGGCTAAGCCTTTGTCACTCCGGCGGTGGCCATGATGGTGAAGACCCCCTGCCCCTCCGGCAGATGCTGCTGCTCCGCTCTGGTCACGGCTTCTCTGCTTAGCCCGGCCAAGTTGATGGTTCTTCTTGGGCAGAGCGCGCTCGGGGTGGGAAACTGGAATGTTGTATCTCTCTCCGCCTCCCATATTGCTGCACTACGTGTCACCTATGATAAGAAAATATTATTAGTTGACATCACTGGCAACTTGGGAATGGGTTGCACTAACTATTATATTCATTTAATGCAAAATAGTCTAATCCACCCACCCACAGCACATCTCAATGAAAACAAGCACAGACAGTACGTGCAGTAACACTAGACAGCCTGTTCGGCGTCGCCCCTCCCCCACAGCCCAGATCAAAACAACCCCAGCTCACCTCTTTGTTGTCAGAAAGTTGGTGAAGCAAAGCTCTCTCTTCAACCGTTCACCTCCAACCGGGCCCCAGGTCCTCGAAGTAGGTCTCTGTCTACTTCTCGCTGTACGTCTGTGTCCAGCAAGGTCTGAAGTTTTCATGTGCCAATGAGCGTTGTTTTCCTGTCGAACCGAGCTGAACATCAATTCCCCTCGGCACACAATGTTTCTCCAAGAAGCCGTAACCTTTAGGAGAAAATGTCAGTTAGATGCTAAATACACTTTGTGTTTTGCTCATGTAATTGTTTTGAAAATGAGAAGACGTGCATTTTAAGAGTGCGTCATTAAATCAAGCACTGCAAAAGACAATTAACAACAAAACAGGTTACCTAACGTTTCTTTAGAAACATTGTCATTATAAAATATTCTAAAACGGTCCCAAGTATCACAACAAACCGTTAGATATGCAAACTGCGACACGTTTGTTTGTGTGCCTCTAGCCTGGGGACGCTTTGTCCTGCCAGCAGTCTTTGTGTCGGAGATTTTCCGAGTAAAAAAATATGTTTTGTTTTCAAATATCTCGATTAAAGTAAATCAAATGTAGTAGTAGTAACATGGGTTAAGTTAATAACGTAATTCCAGTATCTGTCACACAGCTTTGGCACCAAATCAAAACAAAGAAACTGTGAGCTCAATATGGCGACGAGGCACAAAAACAGCTTCTCTTACCGACTTCCTCAGGCTTTGGTGGTAAAGAAGCCCTTCGTCCGAGAAAATGTGCGACCAGCCTTTAGAAACCCCTCGACAGACTATGTGTAAGAAGCACAGCAAGCTATGTTTCCTACAAATCCCGTCTCCCTCGAAACTTAGGTGGTGTTCAAAGTGGCTGTAGGTCACCTCTTCTCTCCCGACTCCGTCTGAATTGCAACAAAATGGAATCTTCAGCAGATATATGTAGCTCGTTCTCAACCGATATCTGACCAATCACACGTCGAGTTCCAACCGAACGACCAATCACAGAAGAGACAACGAGACGCATTCACGCCTGTTGCCAGACCGGTGACGTCAATCGGTGACCGTCCTCTCCTTTCCTTTGTTGGAGCTCGGGTATTTCCTGCGAGAGAAGTGAGAAAATAATAGAGAACAACTGCCTGAAAACACCAAAACAGTTCCGCTTTTACGCAATCATAAATAGGAAATGTCTATAGGCTCTCATACAACATCATATGAAGTGATTTTCTGTAGTTCAGTCTTGTGTTTTGTCGAGCTTTCGTTGAAATAAGAAGGTAAACAACCTCCAAGGTTTACATTTTATGAAGTAGCGTAGGCTAATTTACATATCTGTTACAGTAAAACGGATTTATTGTTCCACCGTTTCCGCTAGCGTTGGTTAAACTTGTTGTGCTGCTTTAGAAACAGCTGCAACAGGCTGTAATGATACACATCAACCATTGACTGTGAGAGCTGCCCATCCCCCATGTCTCTGCCCTCTTCCTATAAACAAAAAACCCCATAGGCTACAGTACACCATATTAAAACAATTCATTTAGCCCTCCTTTCAATGTTCCAACTATGAGAAGAGTTGTTACATTATTTTAGATTCCTACCCATGTTAATTTCTTGGTGTTAAACGCAATTTTTTGTGACAATAGATACT